TGGAAAGAGAAGAAACGCTAAATCAACTGAGGGAAAAAACGTCAGGGTTAACCTGCGATATCCTTGACCTGTATGAGACACTACGAAGGAAATGAAGGACATATTGTAAAACGGTTGTTCGATATGGCAAAGGGACGCGAAAAACATAGGAGGAATCGGAAATGTAGTCAGCGAAAGGTGGTTCTAGATGATAGTTTTCTGTCTGGTTAAGTCACCAAGGCTGGACATGCTGAACCTCTAACTGAGCAAGAAAAGGAACTTGAATATCGTCCAAACCTATGTTCCCACAACAGACAATGAGGAGGCGGAAGAATTCTATCAACAACTAGAATAGGCATTGGTCCCAATGTCTATACATGCCTTTGTCATGAGAGCCTTCACTGCCAAGATCTGAGTGGCAAAGGTTGGTGAATAGTTCGTCGGTAGGCACAGCACCACGGAGCAACATGAAGCGGAGATTGGCTGGTGACCATGGCAGAACCGAAACATTTGTATATTGGTAACAACTAGTTCAAGAGGAAGTGTAATATGAGGTGCAGAGAGATCGAGTGCTATGCGGCGACGTTGATCGACTTCGTCCTGTTCAATAAACGCCACATCATCTGAGGCATGGCAGTAGTTCCATCATTTAACACCGGTAGTCGCTACAGACTGGAGTGGAACAGGTAACCTTCGAAGAGATGATCGAGAGGACGTGGTTGCAAATGGCAAATTGCATGCAGCAACTGAAACATTCGAGAAGGTAATTCTGAATGCACGAATTTCCAACGATAGTTGGAATCTGAAAGGCAGCTGCGATGACGGCCACGGGAAGTTGAGGCTGAGGCTTCGCGTAAAGTCAATTGAGGTAGCTACATCAGCAATATGGAAATGAAGGTTTCAAAAGAGACAAAGACTTTGCTAGAAAAGCAGATGAGGATGAGAAGATAACGGAAAGCTGCAGTTGAGTACTGTCTTCTCTGCCGAGCTCAGTAGATGAACGTTCAAACCTACCAATTGCAAAAAATAATGATAACCCCGAACACCGCAGGAGCCTCAATCAATGCAGAGAGGGTTTGCGTTTTATTAGTCCCCCAAAAGGATGTTGAATTAAATGGATGGTTCATTAACGTCTGACAGAGCTGAGAAGCAGTTTATCTGCAAGAACTTTGACACTCAAATCTATGCCTCAAGACATGCCTCTGATCGTCGTCGTTCCAACAGCCAGAAGGAAGTACACTCTCAGTCCTCATAGGCGAAGTTCGGGATGCATTGCAGGAAATGAATGAAGGAAACACCTCAGGGAGATATAGTCTCACGATTAAAGTGATCAGCGTAGGTGATCAGACTCTATAAATGGCGGTAAAAGAGAGATTCAATTACCACCTGAAAACATAAAAGATACCGTCAAGCTGGATGGAGTCAAAAACAATAATTCTGTTCAAGAAACATATGAAATAACTGTAGTCTGTTCTCGTATGTCTACAATCGTTCATTAAGATCATTACCAACAGACTGTCGGCAAGTCTCGAGAAATAGCCATCAAGAGAACGGACACGATTCCGAAAGAGCTACGGCAGAATGGAATATGTTTTAACATTAAATCAAGTTCTATAGCGCGTGAGGCAATGACTGTTCTTTCTGTGCATCGTCTTCATTGACCCTGGTAACGAAACGCTTTCGAGCATAACACAGTGTAGACTGCAGCAATAGAAAATGACACCACCGCCCGCTAAGGAAACGAACACTTGCTGCTTCACAAATATCACGCTGTTCCACATGCCAAATTCGGAATCGCTTAGAAAACGTCGGGAAATGGGACAGCTGTTCTCTGAATGTTTGACAATGATTGTTTCGTGATTCGAAATGGCGTTACGGAAGATCAACTGGAAAGGAGGGATTAACATCAATGGTAAACAGCTCATCCATCTATGGTTCGCCGTTGACGTGTTGTTGCTTACGGAAAGCGCAAATCAGCTACAAGCATGCTGCAAGAGCTCAACAGAAAAAGTGCAAAAATCAGACTGTGATCAGACAATCCATCAGCTGGTTAAAGACGACGATCGGATGCTTGCCTAAGACCCGGGTAACGTTTAGCGAAGCAAAATAGAATAAGTTCATAAATACATTTGCCAGGGTCAAGTGATCAACACGCTTCATGATCAGGCTGAAGAAACTCAATGGAGACAAACCAACGACCGGTTACGCGCATTCCATTCCATCAAGACGTCCTCATCGGCAACATCAAGAAAAAAACCATACTCATGAAGCCCTTTTGGGCTCTACCGTTTGCCGGCCATCATGGTCACTCGCAAATGCCAAAGAGCGTCTGCTATCTTCAGTTGAAAGAGTCATACAAGTAAGAATATTCGGAATGTCACGTGCAAGGGCGAAAAAAACACTGACGCCATGATCACGTTGCAAACGGCCCTGAAGGACCTCCTCATCGAAAGCAGATAGGAGAAGGTACTGTAAGCCGGGCGTGTATCTCGGCTCACCTACGGGAGATAGTTGATGATTATCGTCGACTGGTACCCTAGTAGGTTGACTAAACTTTCGGTCGCTCACCGAAGGTTCGAAGGATATATCAGAAGCCGGGAAAGCCGCGCTTTGAGGAAGAACTCCCGAAACACGGAAGAATATCGGCCATGTTGATGCCGGACCGATTTGTGGCTGAATGCTGCCGGTCCAACTGATTCAAGTGTGATCTCATGATAACAAGCAGGAAAACACTAACTTGGAAGTAAACTGGGAATCGACGATGTAAGCCACTAAGTTTCAGATGGATCTATAACTTGTAAGCTTACAACTGCGAGGAACGAATGTTTTCCTTTGCCGTTAATTTCCGTAGTCAAAGAATTCACCCCCCCCCTGCCGTGCTTTCATCCTGAAGTGATTGGCGAGACAATAATTTGCGAATAATTGGAGAGCATGATACTCCAGTATGGTCATGCCCAAAAGTGCTAGACAAACTGCCATGCTTTGCAACTGGTTAAACATCACGCACCAGAAATCAAGCAACATGTCAAGAGAACAAATTAACGTTTCCGCCACTGGTGTATTTTTCGTATTTTTCCCCGTCAAGTCTTTCTCCTTGGCAAATTTGTGCATTGTATAGTGAATAATAAACCGCATCTGTTTTACCTGCTCTTGAGACGTAAATGCACGACAAACCGCAACCATCAAAACAACATTTCTGATGCTCTTGACAGTCCCCGTCATCTTTGCATTGCATGGAACATACTAGATGAAGTTGGCGTTGTTGATTTGGGCATTTTCCTGGCCTCGATATGGTTGCTAAAATAGTTTTTCAACGCAACGAATAACAAGCAATTGACAACAAGAACTTTTGTAACGAAAAGACGCACTTACTCGGAACCTAGTATAGTTTAACAGTAGATAGTAATTCGAAGATACTTGACGTCATGGTAGAGATTAATAGCCATGATATGCTTTTCTTTGGAACGCTTGCGTACGATTCCCATTCTACTGTGACCTCACTGCAGCTACAGTTTCCAGTCCACTTCAGCCAAGTGATGAGACTCATCGATTCTTTCACTTTTAGAAGGTAAGGTCATCAGTTTTGGTCAGCAGCCTTGGCAGGAACCATCATCGGTCTCGCAATCGTCATTTTTAAACAAATGAATCGGTCTTTTGTCCCCCTATGGGGTCGGAATGACTGGTGCCTTGCAAGCCTTTTCTGTAGGCTAATCCATGTTTTTGACTTTCCAGCTCACAGTTCCAATTCATAACTTTTCTTGGTTTGAATCAAAACGGTTCCTGTCATGACTTTATCGATGTTCGATGCCACCGCAATCGGGCTTATTCCGGCGAAGTCCGTGTAGTGTCCAATCGTAATATTGGAAATATGCATAAACACTTGTCACCGCTGGTTGATTCATAAATAAGATAGATTTATTCGACATTGCACGCTGCCATAACGCTTCTGTACAGGAAAAAGGTTTCGGATGACGTCACTAGTCCTTCTCAACTTCAAACAATCAGTATAATATACAAAAATACGGTATCAGGAGATAGTCAAGATGTACTTACAACTAACTTTTGATGTTTGTTTAGAATCGACACCAGTTACGCAATGGAGAGATATAAACTCCTCTCATCTTTGGTAATGACGTCCAGTCCTGCTGGGATTAAGAAAGCTTCAGCAACTGAACGTTCTTTATAGCTCCCATCCATTGCTACTATGGTTTGACAGTTAAAGTCGACGCTGTATTCTAGAAGAAACTAATGGAGGGCTGCTTTTTAGCTTCTTTCCAAGCGTCGCTTTCTTTCGGTTGTTAGATTTCTGATGGACACTGCTCTCTTATAACCTACCATCCTAGTTCGTAGTTGTCTGACAGTTTCACAAAGGTATGACAGTTGGCAATTTGAGCGATTTATTGAGTAATTACTTCGGTCTTTCCTTTGTTCATTATTTTGCCCTTAATTTTCATCAAGCGAGGACTCAATTTCTCGTCTGAATTGAAGACACTCCTGATGCCTAACTTTCCCAACACAAGTCGAATAGACTTTGAAATGAGGAGAGCATAGGCAATGCAAACGGTCAATGGCGGAATGAACGTTCGTTTTGCTGGTTGACCAGCAATGCTGTCCGCTTTCTTCATTGCTCTCCTGATGAACTGTTGTGGATACCGGTTTGTCTGTACAATTACTTTCATATGGTGGATTTCATGCTGAAATTGAGATCTCGCCTTACGATCTCTCTCCAGCGACCGAAGAAAAGTGACGCTTGAAAATCTCCACCGTTGCCTGTCCCAAGTCCGGTGAGAAAAAAGGAGGGATTAAGACCATTACCAAATCTCCCGTAAATCTTAGCCACCTGTTCTTCATGGCAATGCCGTTATCAAACATTAAACCGGCTCGATCGTCACCCCGGTTACCAAGAGCCGCGCAGGCTGTGAAAAGTCGGCGATTATAGCCTGGGCGTAGCGGAACGACAACAGCTGCCGAAAATCGACAAAATGACAATGAATAGACAAATCATCAACATAGACGATACCCGTCCTGAACGGAGAACGCAGTCAGCGCGATGACATCATTGCACGTACGCAAACACTCCAAGAGAACGCCACCGCCAGTGAGAACTTACAGTCCGCAATTGGAATATATCCTCACTCAGAAGGAAAAAGCAGAAGTTAGTTAATGAGGCTATAAAGTACCAATTCGACATTTTGGACTCTCATGTGCCAAGGCTCTCGAATCCTGAACCTCTGCGAGTGGAAGTTATTCTACTCAGGCGTCTGTATCACGACGCGCTGTCAGGCCGGTATTGGTGACCCGGTAGAACTCCACCTGGCTGATAGAATCATTCAGTGGAAGCCTGAGAGCGGAAGAATGACAATTTTCCGATTGAAACGGCAACGGTCTAAAGCGCTGAGCTTTTTACAGGTCTATGCGCCCAATTTGGAGGGAGAATATGAGACCTTCCTTGAGGAAGTGCAGTGTGCTCTGTCCGAAGTGCCGAATACAGAGTCCCTCATATTGATGGGCGATTTTAATGCGTGACGTTGAATATAGGAAGAAATGTGTGATTGGAAAGAAAGACACTAACGACCTCAACGATAACGGCATGAAGTTGTTGCGGTTTTGTGCAAACAACGGATTGTCCATTATGAACACCTCCTTCGAGCATCGAAGAGCGCCTCATATCGGGAAGCTTATTCACAGAAGTCGATGATCGATTTGATAATCGTATTGTCTGACTTATGATGGTGTATAATGGCTGTTAATGTTAAAAGTGGCGTAATGCTGACCGATTACAGAGAGAATATTGATTTATCGTGATAATGTCAATTAGACGATGATAACTGTCACTCTTCTCTGTGCCTCTAGAAATATATCGAGTAAAAAGGACGAAAACGCTTTTCATAGGTACTTCAGCTCGGTATTCGTGCGCCGTCGTGTGCGAGCCAAACAACGGGACGTCGACGAGAAGCCAGCAAGCAACATAGAGAAACAACATTGATGTTCTTTCAGAAAGGAAGATTTTTTTCTACGATATAGTCACCGATTACTTATGGCTAAAGCATTCAAAAGCTCTGCATCCGGCGGGGCATCACAAACTACAGGGTTATCGTTCTGCCTATGCGAATGGCTCAATGTGATGAGATCAACAAACAACGCCGAAAGGGCACTTTTTTTCTAGTGGTGCCTAATGGGATGTATTGGAAGGTTAAGGTTAATTCGAATTCGAGCAGTTTATGCCTCAGGCTACTACAGTATCTTATTCGTTCACAGTTTCGCTAAAGTTCAATTTTAAAATGGTATGGCACATATGACAACACCATGGCCTTTATTCGAGATGTATTTAGGGCTGCAGATACTGTTTTTCCATGTCGTTGCGGTCTGTTGAGTCAAATGTCGCCCCAACAAGTTAGAGACTGTGAAATTACGATAAAATATGTGCTCGTTAACATCTTCCAGTGCGCGAATCCACACGGTGTAAGTTTGAACAGCGGTTGACACTCACATGGAAATTCGCAGCATAGACCCTTGCCAAAATATCCGATTTCAAAACACCAATGCTCGTCACCACAATCGGTGGTGGAGTCGCAGAAGATAACTACCTCGCTTATTGGCTGCTTAGCTGGCCGTCCACTTTGACAAGGATTGATCAGACCTAAAGGAGAGGTCAGATGCCGTTTCAAGCAACCTTAATTTCGTACTTACACTGAGGCACTGATACCGTGCAACTTGTGGACGATGCGGAAACGCAGTCTTTCGAAACTGACTGGCACGTCTCGAAGGTATTTACACATTGGATACCATCGCATAAGTTTCTACAAGGACAACCAGACAAAGGGCATCCATTGTCATCCGTCTTCAGACCATAAACACAAGCGCTGGCATTGCATATCTGATTATGTCTGCAGTCATGACGCTGAGCTAAAATATCACACAGCGCTAGAACTGATTCAGAATAAGGTGATGCGTTTAACTGAGTGACCAAAACAAATGAAGCTAAATTATTTTTCACTTAAATTGCAATTAATGATGTGACCCCCCCCCTCCGGATTGCGATCCTGACTGTTCTATCCAATAACGAAATCACTGCAGATCAAAAAATGCAGAGCAGTTAGAGTTCTACAGTTCTGTATTTCTCTTGTTAATAATGACTCCGTTTGGATGATTTGTCCCCTCAAAGCAAAGTCAATGTAGCTTAATATCCATTTTTAATGAAACACGGTTTCCGGAGTGAATTGGCATTAGTAAGTTATTGAGGTTCCGTAAGATTAATGATTTAGGCAATAGCATGAAGCTGCAGATGTACAGAATTTGCGTTCCAAACATATTTCTCCACTGGCTGAAGACGGCAATAATTAACAACGCTGAAAAATACTCTAAGCGTCAGAAATGACGATTTTAAGATCAATGTTAGGAGCGAAGCCGTACGGTCTTGTATCCTATGCTTTCGTAGGAGAAAGATTGGAAGATCCAGCTGAAATTGCCCACAGGCTGCAGTAAGGCGTTTAATAGAGTGGAACCGTTAATGGCTGATAAACGATAGCCGCCTCGTGAAGCGAATAATGATCGCAAAGCTTTATATCAGACGGTCGTGAGACACGTCTCCAACATATTGGGAAGATCTCGTTAAAAGTGACAGTGGTCGAAAGGACAGACGGGCAAATGCGAATTTAATCGATCGAGATAGAAAGATTGTTGTCGATACAATGGGATAAGAAGACGGATCGAAATATGCTGAACTCACGAGTGACGCAGTCGATAGGGTGGCTGGCTGTAACCTTTGTGCCGTGGATTTCTCTGCCTTCCGGATCCACACACCAGCAATGGTGCTGATCACACTGGCGCGATTTGAAAGCACCGGAAGCGTCGCACTCTGGCACATAGCCATCGATCATCGTGCCAAAGGGTAGCAGATCCACTGCCTTCCGTAAAACTCTACACGCTACAATGACTAGTGTGAGTCAACAATTGCACCTAACCACGGACATACCTCTTCCTTGCGCGTTCAGCGCGGTGCACACCTGAGCACAGCCGTTGAAACAGCACTTCTCACCACCCTCGCAGTCTTCATCGCCGTGGCAATTCGACAGACACTCGACTTGACCAGATGGGAAGTCACGTGGGCAGAGGGGTTCGGAAACTGAAATCGTCTCACTCTTTCAATAAGCATTGTTCGAAATGTACATATAATAATGCACAGCATGATTCAGCCGTGGCACTGCACCGAAAGAGCTACAAAATTTGAACTTTCTATGACCTATATTTAACGATAAACCTGGTATCCTGTCTTGTGGTCAATCTATTTATGAATAGCTCAATTTATTTCGCTCCAGCTGAAACTTAAAAGCAATGTTAGATGATTTTCATGATTATCTGTGTGCGAAACGTCAATTCCTTCGAAATTCATATTTCAATCTCAGCACTTCACATGCGAAGTCCCGAAGACAGAATATCTTTGGACCCAATCACTCTGTGCCCAAAAACGATCAGCTAAAATCGCTTATAGTTCCTGGGTCACATTGCAGTGCGATGCGTCAGCCAACGAACCGATATAACAGTTGATATAAAATCTTATTCTTTTGTTTTCCAGTGCTTTTTTATTGCGTCCACAGCACTTGATCAATTCTGCCATGGTCTGGTAAAACTCAGTTGCAGCTACCCACAAATTGGCACCAGATATCCTTCAGAACCTTGCCTGAACGGAGCTGTTCGGAAGTTATTTTAAACCTTGACAAGCATATGATCGTATTGGTCGACGCGTGGCCAAACTATCAGTAATATTCCCAGACCTACGTAACAGCGTAAATTAAAATTAAGCATCACCTACGGCGGACTTCAACGCCCGTCAGTGTGTGAAATTTGTAACAGAAGATTTCATTTGCAAATATCATTCCGAGTTCCGAGGTCAGGAACTTGAATTTCTCTACCTCTTTCAGAAGCATTCCACTAAATTGCAAGTGGTTTGGAGTTTCACTGTAATTGGTCTCAAGAAAAGTGCCAGAAACTTCATTGGAAGTCATAAAACAAGGGAAATCTAGATTGCTTTCAAAGAGAAAAGTTAAATCGACCATTTAATTATTGAATTTTCTAAAAAATTATTAGAATCAAATTGCTGAGAAAAGAAAATGTGACAATAATGTATTTCATACGCACTCTCGAAAGGCGATTAGAAGAGATTTCAAACTTTATTAAGCGAAGCCTGATGACTAAAGTTGAATATTACTTTCATCCGCCAAACATACTCACTTAGTAGACTCGACTAATTGTTTTCGATGATCATTGACCTTTGGTGACATTGATCTTCGATGTCAGTCTTTGGTGTCTTTCATCTTCGCCGCATATAACCAAGGTATAAAAGAGTTCAGTCTTTCAGCGAAGACTACCGCGTGGTTGATATTTACTTTTGCAGCCATATATTAATCGCTGTAATTAAATGTGTAAATAAGATGACCTATTTCATAAAGTATGGTCACATGGAAATTGTCGGACATCGTACCAATGACCATCATTTTACCATTGACGTCGGTGCAACTGTAGAAAAGATATATCAGAAAATATATGCCTTGGTACCTTGGCCATATATTAATTGCAGACTGAGCGTCAAGCAAAGCTAAGAAGCGCCCTTGCGTGGGCAGTAGCAGCGAGTGACAATCCATGCAAGCTCTGGAAGCACGAACATATCGGTAAGAGCAGCAAGCTACAGATATGCAACCCATTCGGTCTGAATATTTGCTCCATGGTTTTGAATTCAAAAACACTCACAGAGATGAATATTTTAAGATCGATATTAGGAGTGATATGATATGATGTAGGCTTGAATGCTGTCGCATGGCAGAGGATGAGACATCAAGCTAAATTGATCGATTGACTGCAGGCAACGCGTTCAAAATGATTGGGCCATTGTAAATGAATGGTTGAATCCAAAACTGAATGCAAGTATTGACCACTGATGGCATCCAAGGAGACGCCCAACAAGATGGCAAAGACTCCTAGCAGTTGATATTACATCGATAAAACTGAAGAGTGAAAACATGATTTGATTCATGCAAAATGTCGGTGCACCACGTGGCGTCGTCTTCTGCGAAATGGTATTGGAAGAAGATTTCACTAGCAGATTCATTCTTATTATCCCGCAGCTTCGTTGTGATATAAGGGCTTTACCAACTTCTTCTTTAATAAATTTGACTTGATTTATTACAAATTTCGTTTCTCTACCCGAAATACAAGAACATCGTATACATGTATGTATCAAGGGGTCCTCTATGACCCAGGGAATACATTTAGTTTGCAAATTTATTATTATGCCAGTTATTACCTTTTATGAAATCGTTATAACACTATTTATTGTGCAGTAGCCAAAGAACCTAGTCAACAGACCTACTGTTGAGACTTGTCACTCTGATCAATCATTTGATTGAATATTTTTTATTGCATATAAATAGAAAATTAACCTTGTTTTAAGCAGCTTTCAACAGGAAGCCAATGCATGAACTAAATGCAGTCTTTGAATAATTGACATGTATGACAGGAACCTTTAAAAAAATATACCACTTAATTAGGTTTATTAGCGAATTGCTTGCTTTCGATGCCGCCCGTAAGGATAACAATCTCTTGTCACTTATCCAGGTTCACACGGTGTTGTCGCACGATCTCCTTCTATAGCCTAAGAGGCCATTGGAGCAAGCTATGACTTCATGAGTCCTTAGCCGCTGAGTGGAAAACCGTAAAGCAGCACGACTTTATCGGGTTGAATAAAATCGTGTTTGAACACAAACAGATACACCTCAAAAAACAGTAATATGGAAGTACTGCCCATTATTAAATTCTAAGGGGGGTACGTTAATCACATGTATCATTTGTGACATTCTTACTTCGGCTGTCTTGACTGTGTAAGATGTTCGCAAATTCTGTTGGAGCGATCTGCACATTTGGCCGACCGTTGTTGCACTCAGCACCCTAAATATAGAAGATGCAAGGAAAGCACAAATGCAGCTGAAAAGAAATTCAGGAAAATATGTTTTTGACGTCCGTTCATCTGATCCCAAAAATTTATACTGCTTTACGTTTAAAATTTATCAATTAATTACACTCCATAATCATATACGGTCTACACTTTCCACAGTCAAACCTCAGCATCCTCGTCGTGCAAAGTAAGTAACGGTTATCGTAAAGCAGAACATACTATGTCGAAATAGGTAGAGCGATTGTTTTCGAGCTGCAGTGGTAGTCATGAACGCTCTTGTGAACCTTGAAATGGCAGGGGAAGGAAAG